CCTCCCTCACTTTGTCACTAGTCACCCCTTCCCTCACTCTGCCACTAGTCACCCCTTCCCTCACTCTAGTGACAGAGTGAGGGAGTGACAGAGAGAGGGAAGGGGGTGACTAGTGACAGAGTGAGAGAGGGGGTGACTAGTGACAGAGTGAGGGAGGGGGTGACTGTCACTAGTCACCCCATCCCTCTCTCTGTCACTAGTCACCCCTTCCTTCCCTCACTCTGCCACTAGTCACCCCTTCCCTCACTCTAGTGACAGAGTGAGGGAGTGACAGAGAGAGGGAAGGGGGTGACTAGTGACAGAGTGAGAGAGGGGGTGACTAGTGACAGTCACCCCCTCTTTCACTCTGTCACTAGTCACCCCCTCTCTCACTCTGTCACCAGTCATCCCTTCCTTCCCTCACTCTGCCACTAGTCATCCCTTCCCTCACTCTGTCACCAGTCACCCCTTCCTTCCTTCACAGTAACAGAGAGAGGGATGGGGTGACTAGTGACAGAGAGAGGGATGGGGTGACTAGTGACAGAGAGAGGGAGCGGGTGACACAGTGACAGAGTGAGGGAGCGGGTGACACAGTGACAGAGTTAGGGAGGGAGTGACTAGTGACAGAGAGAGGGATGGGGTGACTAGTGACAGTCACCCCCCTCACTCTGTCACTAGTCACCCCATCCCTCCCTCACTTTGCCACTAGTCATCTCTTCCCTCCCTCACTCTGCCACTAGTCACCCATTCCCTCACTCTGTCACTAGTCACCCCTATCTCCCTCCCTCTGTCACTAGTCACCCACTCCCTCACTCTGTCACCAGTCACACCCACTCACTGTTTCCCCCTCACTCTGCCACCACTCAACCCCTCCCTCACTCTGCCACCTGTCACAACCTCCCACACTCTTCCACCTGTCACCTTCTCCCTCACACACTCTGTCACTTGTTATATGCATTCACACTGACCCTATATACAAAAAAGCACATTTAGTCATCCAGACATGCACAAGTGCATTCACACAGACTCAAATACAAACATGCATTGATACACAGGTCTTCACAATACACACATCCAAAGGAATGCCGTATTATGAATTATTTTTAACATTTATTTAATGCACATATATTTGGCCTTCAGAGGGCCTGGGATCTAATTTTGCCCGGGGGCCCCAAAGGCTCTCAGTCCGCCCCTGGACACACCCAACCAGTGGTGCAGTATTGAAATGGAAAACTAGGCAGATCACAGTGGAGGCACCCTGAGGCAAGCAATAAGAGGTGGGGCCCAGTGCAGGAAAAAAAGACAAACAGTAATAGGAAACATCTAATATAATAGGCAGTAACTTGGGCTCACCCAGTGAAGGAGGATGCAAAAACAGGCTGCACATTAGCAGCTTTACAGGTAGTAATTATGGTAGTAGCTTACCCTCAAAGTAAATAGGGCAACAAGCCACAACAATTAGGCCACCACACTTTAAGCAGGCAACAGACTGACCTGTACTGAGTCCACTACCTGCAGTAACTCTTTGTTGTTAGCTTTGTCCAAAACAGGTAGAGAATAGCAGCAGCAGAAACAGCAAACCAATAACTTCAATGGGAAACACACCACCAGGCTCTGGAATTCAGCCCATGAGATGCATGCCGAAGCACCAAGATGGGAGCTGCTGATGTTTTGAGACTCAAGATCCACTATAGCCACCACGAATCACTGAGAGGAACCACGGCTCAGCCGCCGCTGAGTGAGAAAATTGTGGTGCGGCACAGACGACAACAAAGCAGCAGATACAGTACCCGAACGTGCAGAAGAGTCAAATCCAGAGGGAATAAGTCTCCGGAGCGTCCCAGTGCCAAAGCAATGCACATTAACGGATCTCTCTACAACAGTGAGAGGTCCCAAAGCAGAGTAATAGAATGAAACACCAGAAAAAAATGGAAACATAAAACCCACTGAGTTAAGGGGGAAGGAAGGGTAAGGAAAAACAGCAAAAACTAATAACACCCTAAAGGGAGCACTATATACTAAACAATATAACAATACAACACAATATAACAGTGCAGAGAAGAGCATAACTCTGAATGGAGGAACAAAGAAAGAGGGGGTGTCTAGGTTCACCATGAATTATGTTTATATTACTTGTTTCTGATTGATTATTATTTGCAGCTATGGAGCTCAGTAAAGAAAGTTATGCAAAATATAAATAGAGATGTCGCGAACCGTCCGCGAACTTCTCACAAACGGTTCGCCACGAACCGTTCGTGGCGAACTCTGGTCAGCTGACACATCCCAGCCAATCTCCGGCAGACCCTCCCTCCCACCTCCTGGACAGCATCCATGTTGAAGCTGCCTTCAACATGGATGCTGTCCAGGAAGTAGGAGGGTCTGAAAGACCTAAATTGGTCTTTCAGACAAACTTAGTATTAGTAAATTTTGCTCCATTTCCCGTTGGATTTTGGGGCCAAGAATACTGTTGAATAGATACCTTTGTATCTTTCTGAAAGAGGTACCTCTTCTATGACACCTTGGAGAAGTAGTTTTTTGACACCAGATATCATGGCTTCCCCTTTTCCCCCCACAGTTTTTCTTGACCGTATGAAGGATTTGCTTGGAGGAAAGGAGTTGAATTTGATTCTGTAGCCTTGATCGGGGATAGACATGACCAAGGAGTCTGATATTTTTGTGGCCCAGACAGAAAGGAAATGATGAAATTAAATCTATTGTCTTGAAAGACCTGTCACTAAACCTGTTGCTTTTCCATTAAGGATGAGTATGGGGTTTTCTTCCCATGAGGTAAGAAAGCGTTCTTGCTATCCGCTGCCTTTTGGATAGCCTCATCCAGGACTTTCCCAAAAAGGAGATCACCCTGGAAGGGGAGAGCACAAAGGGAGGATTCTGAAGAGTAGTCAGCACCCCCCAAAAAAAAAAAAAAGGGAGATAGAAGAAAATACACTGGCAGTACTAAATTATATTTCTTTAGGAACAGAAAGCTCTTGTCACTTTAAGAACCGAATGAAACCCTGTAACTTTAAGTGAGGGGAATTCATGCATGCGCAGATCGTTCGGGAGAACACTGAGCCGTTCGTGAAATTTTATTGGATCAGTGCGCGCCAATTGGTGAGAATAGGGTATAAACGAACTGATGCTTGCCGGGGAAATCCCTTACAATGGAAAGAAACGCCACAGTGTTCATATGGCTGAAAAGGACGAACAGGGGATCGCTTACCAGTATGTGAGGCTTACCCATATGTGAAGAGGATTAACTCTCGAACTAAAGATTTCCACCGAACCCATGAGTAATCGAAATATGGAAATGGTAATATAGAAGAGAAATTCCCGAATGAAGAGGAGAAAGGTCTATCTCCCAGATTGCCTCTAGGTTCTGTAGGGGGAATATCTATAGGCTTTTGAAGCTTCAAAGCCATAGTTGTATGTATTTCCTCAATGCAGATTCAAACCACTAATTTGAATCTGACCCAGTTAGTCCTGCTGTTTACTGGGTCCTTCAGGCACAGAGAGGCAACACTGTGCCTGGGAGACCCATGGTACACATGGGAAGGTAGTCAAAAAAGAAAAATTGTTAAGTCATAATATAACCTGTCTGTCCGGTTAAGGACATAAAAAAAGACCAAGGTATGGTAGGAGGAGGGCCTTTTATGGCTCCAGTCTCTTTCTCTCCTTTTTTAAAAAAAATTTTTTGGTTAATCCAGTCCTGATCTGGATAGGGGTGGAGCTACCTATAAGGAAGCTTCCATGATTAGCCAGGACAGATTTTTTTTTTTTGTTTTTTTTTTTTTTACAGTAAATGTGTGACTTTGTGCCCAATGCATAGTCCTGTTTATGAATAGTGTGGCAGAGCTTGCTTAATTTCTTGGATTACTGGTGTAGAATCCTGTTCTACTGCTTCATCAAAAGACTAGCACTTCCTTGGATCTCCCCTACCACGTATTCCAGCCGAGCGCGCTCCCATCTTGACCGTTAGTATCCTGTGAAGTCATAGTGACTGCTGTAACTTCTTTGGAACTGTGGCTCGGTCTCATCTACCGCATCCGCCCGGTCAAGTTTAACCACTGTTTTACCTCCTTTTACGAATGTTGCCTGTTTTACCTCCTAGGAGAGCACTATTTGGTGGGAAGGTACAGAAGGTCACTACCATCAAGCACTAGCTAAGAGCGATGGGGGAGTCCCCTTTTCCAAACCCTCAGTTGAAAGACTAGCACTTATCTGCAAACGGCCTGGAACTCCACTCAAGATCGAGCTGTGGCCAACACTATTTCCCCAGAGTTCTCCAGTATAGACTATCAAAAGATGTGTTGTGATTCTTCATTGTTAAATTGTTGTTTTGGGGTAATTTTGTTGTTGGGCTTCTCAGTGTCTGGGAGATAAGTGATGGATGTCGCAATCATCTCCCAGACACAAAGGCGCCAAGGTGTTTCACATATACCTTGGCTGGAGACCCATTCTGGGGGTCTGTGTATATAAACTCTTATTGTGAGGGGACGGAGCCTGGCCACTGAACAAGCAAGACGTTAGGGATGTGCATGGGCAAAAAATTTGGTTTGGTTCAGCAATCCAAAAATTCGGGACTTCGGCAATTCTCGAAACCCAACCTTACCCCCTAACTCCTATCCCCCAACCCCACCCCTAATAGGAGTAGGGTTAGGGTTAGATTTCAGTCATCATTCCCTTAATTTTCCCTCCCTCTCTCGTTTTGCCACTTTTCAGAAATCCAAAGTACTTCGGCATTTCCGAAGTTCGGCACTTCGGAAATTGGGAAGCATCAGAGTAGCTGAAATTCGTCCGAATTTAAATTCAGACCGAAATGAATTGCACATGTATACAAGACGTGTGCTACATGGGCTCCTGTGACTGACACCCTACAAATGACAATAAACCTGAGACAACGACTTGCCCGCAGAGCATAACTAAGCCTGTTCCTGTGATGCTGGATACCTCTCAGGGGCTTCTCCGCCACTGGAAACCCTAACTCGAGACTCTGCGGCCAACTAGCGGGCATGCAGGGGAGAGGCGGCCACTCTCCTACTGCTTTGCCTGGCGGTAAGACAATCGACCAGAACCAACCACCTCCCCCTCTATGGACAAACGGGGGTCATCCCAGCCCCCTCTGGCTAGCCCAGTAAACACACACTGCATCCGGAGGATGGCGGATGAGTTCCCTGAACAGGGGCATGTGCTGCACAGGCCAGAGCTGGTCCTACCGAACCTGATGGACAGCATGCTGCAATGCCTACATAGGGTATTTGAAAGGTTTTGGCAGCGACTGGAGGCTCGAGTGCTACCCTCACAGCCCAAGCCACATCGGAAGAAAGCGCACTGGCGGGGGCCAGGAAGACCCGGACCTCCCTGTGGGGAAATCGTCCCCAAAAGCACCTCTCAAGCCTGATACTGACCCACAGGGACAGAGGGCCACACTGGCTGCTGCCGCAACGCTCAGACCAAGACTATGGAAACCAGGTACCTGCATAAGGCGTAGGACAACTCAAGTCCCTCACTGCATTTTGGAGGAGATAACATCAGCCTTACGTGAGGCTCAGGCCCACGTAACCCAGGAAAGGTGAAGAAGATGCCCTGGCATACTTCCCTCACGCAGCAAAGCCCAGAGACTCTGCCGCGCTACCGAACAGAGGCATAAGCTGCAGCAGCTGTCCCCCACTGCAGCCCAGCAGAATGCTGCACACTGGTGTCGCTGAAGCTCCATCTACAGGCATTAGATGAGTAAATATCGGCACAGACCAACTCTTCTCTGCAGCCATGAACTCTAATACCACATTGTCAGTCCGTTATTGCAAGGAAGGGCCAGCTGTAGTACATTTATTTATATATATACACACACATGCATACATACCTCTTAACATCAGAGGCACCCAGTGGTACTAACAATATTAATCCCAGTAGTACTGTCAAACCTATTATCTTTTACTGAACGTCTATGCCTGATCCTAGCTAGATAAACACTACAATTGACAGGGTACTCCTGGTTACATTTATATGCCTAATCTAGATGATGAATACCTGTCAATATGGCAGAAACTATACACCTCGCTCTTGTATACGCCTCACTCAAATAACTCTATTTACCCTACCGTCGGTTCAAATAACCTGTTTATTTTCATACTTACTACTGTCGATCAACTGACATTTACCTACGTTTGCTTACGTTATAATGTTGAGTCACTAAATATCAAAAAACGTGCAGGTTCTAAACATGCCAAACTTATGTTCTACTAGGTTTCTTGTGACCGCGCTTGTGAATGCGGTTGTGGCAAGAGAAGCACTGCTGTACCTATTTGCACAAAAAAAAACAAAAAACCTCATTGTTCCCTTGTTGTTCTCCCCAGCACTGTGTGTCCTCTGGTGTTTGGGTAACTGGGCTATAAACACAATGGTTTGTGTTGTCCCCAAATATATTTTTATAATGCTATCACATCAACTCTGAGGCATCGTTTTTCTAAACTAAACAGATTTAAATGTGTTAACATGCTTCTTAACTAAAACGTTGCATTCTTTTTATTTCTAGTGCCATTATATCCTTCTTTAGAACAGGTGCCCAAAATTGGACAGCATATTCAAGGTGCAATGTTAGCATTTATTTAAAAAGAGGAAAAACTATGTTTTCATCCCCAGAATGTATTCCTCTTTTAATACATATCAGTATCTTACTGTCCTTAGCAACTGCTTTGCACATTGTTGCCTGTACCAATTCCTAAATCATTCTCTTGTGTTATCTCTAATTCACTACTCTTTAGCGTGTGAATTGCTTGTGACCCCTTGTGGCTCCATGCATTACATGCATTTATCTACATTATCATTCTTTATTTTATTGTGCATGAGAAAAATTATGGTTTCCTTAGGTGCTCTCCAGGTGCGTCTGTGTGGGGAGTGCCGCTGCAGTGTGGGGCCAACATTCTACCTAGGAACAAGAATTTATATAGATACCAATTTCTTTTAGTTTAAAAACACAGATATGCAGGCTGTTGTGGCGCTTGCCTGTTTTGGAGCCTTTTCCTGGGGTGATTATTGAGGTGGTCAAGAGCCACCAAGACATCCCCCATAGTGTTTGCTCGGGCTGGGTGAATCTTGAGTGCCTTTTCAGTGCACCACTGAGGGTTTCCTCTCCTTGTCTGTGGGACTAATGCGCCGTCTTTGGCCATTTTAGAGGGCCACGTGTGAGCCGTCTGCCTTCGACATTTAGCCGCACAGAATAGATGTGTAAGTGCAAGCTTGCCTGGTGGGGACTGGGATAACAGCCAACGGTCCAAAGGGGGGGAGGGGGTAACGGGGCTCTAGGAGGTTTCAGCACATGTCCAGGACCCTCCGGGCTTGGAGAGCGGCCGTCCCTCCCGCTCCACAGGTTGAATAGGCCGCACCGTTTCCCCCAGTTGTTGCTGCCTCGATCTCTGCTTCTGACTGCTGCTACATGAACCCGGTCTGTCAGGGCTCCAGTATGTTTCCACCGGGTGCTAATCAACAGCAAAATGTGGCTATAATCCAGGCTAATGTTGATTCCAGATGAGGAGCTCAAGTAAAGCATGTCTGGTCGCCATGAGTGTCAGGCCTGCCCCCCCATTTATCTACATTAAATTTAATCTGCCATTTAATGGCCCTGTCCTTCAGTTTATCTAAATCCGGCTGCAGCAAAGTAATATCCTGCTCACAGAAACATGGCTTTCAATGCCTATTTCAAGATTTATAAATATGTTAAATAGAAGCTGCCCCAGAATAGAATCCTGAGGGACACCACTTACCACTTTTATCCAGCTTGTAAATACCGATGACAACTCTCTGTATGCTCTTTCAGCCAACATTCTACCTAGGAACAAGAATTTATATAGATACCAATTTCTTTTAGTTTAAAAACTAACCTATTGTTTGGAACCGTATTGAATGCCTTGGCAAAATCCACATAGATCACATTTAGTGCAACACCCTTATCTATAGTTTAACTTATTTGCATTCTACAAAGAAATAAGTATGTTTCACATAACCCATATTTCATAAAAGCCCTGCTAATTTTTTCATAATAACGTTCTTCTAAGTGAATTCCTGAAAAGTATCCATTAATAACCTTTCAAATACTTTTAAAATTGGTTTAACTATTCCAGCCACAGAATTTAAACCTGTTTTCCTGGCACTATAGGCTCTTGGAGTGCCCCCCTCCATCAGCGCTAAAGCAATTAAAACCCCTTCAGCCACTTACCTTAATCCAGCCCTCGGCGCTGGTGACCTCTCCTCCCCCGCCGAAGTCAGTTCCCGAGTGGAGCCGAATGCGCATGCGTGGCCAGATGCGCATGCGCATTCAAACCTGCCCATAGGAAAGCATTACTCAGTGCTTTCCTATGGGGATTTTATATGATGCTGGACTCTGTGATTGATGTAAAGGATCAATAAGTGCAATTTACACAGTGTAAATTGCGGAAGTGCCTCTAGTGGTTGTCAGGGATACAACCACCAGAGGCTGGATTAACCATGCAATGTAAACATACCAATTTCTCTGAAACTGCTATGTTTTCAGCTACAGGGTTAAATTAGGGGCACCTGGCACCCAGACCACTTCATTGAGCTGTAGTGGTCTGGGTGCTTATAGTGGTCTTTTAAGTTCACAGGTGTGTAATTTCAGGTAGGGATTTTGAGCCCTTTTTGAATATAGTGACCATATCTACTTCCTCCAATCCTCCGGTACAATTCCTTAAAAAAAGAATCCTAAGATTAAAAACAGATTCGCTTACTTCCACACTTAGTTCGTTAAGTACTTGTGGGTGAAAACTGTTAGGTCCTTGGGCTTTGTGTACATTAACTTTTTTTAGTTAGCATTAGTTGCTGTAGCTCCTTGTCATGAGTAATTCAATCATAATTTATCTGCAGCAATCATTTGGCACATTTTGCCATAGGTTCCTCTTTAAAGGACCACTCTAGGCACCCAGACCGCTTCAGCTTAATGAAGTGGTCTGGGTGCCAGGTGCCTCTAGGGTTAACCCATTTTTTTTATAAACATAGCAGTTTCAGAGAAACTGCTATGTTTATAAATGGGTTAATCCAGCCTCTAAAGCCTCTAGTGACTGTCTCATCAACAGCCGCTAGAGGCGTTTGCGTGCTTCTCACTGTGAAAATCACAGTGAGAAGACCCAAGCGTCCATAGGAAAGCATTGTAAATGCTTTCCTATGAGACTGGCTGAATGCGCGCGCAGCTCCTGCCGTGCCTACGCATTCAGCCGAAGAGGAGGAGAAGAGGCGGAGAGGAGGAGGAGAGCTCCCCGCCCGGCCCTGGAGAAAGGTAAGATTTTAACCCCTTCCTCTCCCCAGAGCCCGGCGGGAGGGGGTCCCTGAGGTTGGGGGCACCCTCAGGGCACTATAGTGCAAGGGAAACGAGTATGTTTTCCTGGCACTATAGTGGTCCTTTAATATACATTGGGGAAAAATAGTTATTTTAAAATTTCTAAAAGTAGATAAAAGTCAGCGCTGTGCAGGAGCCCCAAATAAGTATTTATGGGGAAGCTGAGTATTGAAATAAATGTGTATGATTTCCACCTCCACAGCAGTGGTTCAGGAAATTGAGAGTATTCTGTGTAAACTTTGAATCCAATTGCAGTGGTCATAGTAGTGTATCTTCAAAGATACAAACAAAGCAAAGATAGTGCAACACAGTTTATTAATGTCATATAAAAACGAAACTTCAAATCCTTTAAAAAAAAAAAAAAAACAAAAAAAAACAAAAACTCATGCACAGTAAAAAGATGGCGTTAAAATCCTAATTTCCATAAAAAAAATGCAGAATATGTGGCAGATAAGCAGTGTGCTAAAAGTATTACTACTCAGTTGGAGCAGCAGGAGTTCAGAGAATATCCACAGATCTAGCCGAAATGCTGCAGGTTCAAACGGAGGGATGACAGAGCACGATACCGCCAAAGGAGTCTGCCGGAAGTCACTATGCCCGTCTGTTTTAAAATTTCTGCCCTTTTCTGGTCTTTATTAAAGGGACACTATGATCTAAGCCAAGGAGGTAGGCCGAGGGTGGAGCCAAACGCCAACCTGGCCAGTCAGCATCTCCTCATAGAGATGCATGGAATCAAAGCATCTCTACGGCAGAAAAGTTCAGCAGTTCCATGCAGAGCATAGAGATGCCGAACGTCAGTGTTGACCCAGAAAGCACCTCTAGTTGCCATTTGAGGAGTGGCCACTAGAGGTCTTCCTAAGCTGTAATGTAAACATTGCCATTTCTCTGAAAATACAGTGTTTACAGCAAAAAGCCTATATATAATAAAAACATTTTTTTTTTTTTTTGCTAACTATTTTTATGTATATGTAATTAGTCATTTTGCATTGGGGGACATTGTCATTTTTATTATGTTTGCTTCTTTAATTTTCTCTGCCCCCTCTCTCCCCTTACCTGCCCTCTAATGGAAGAGTGAGTCTATTTAAATAGGACATTAAGAGACTGCATCATTGTCTTGATAAAGTCTTGCTTAGAGACAAAACATGTACAGCCTGGGTGCGTTATGTACATGATATCATAGGAGGGCACTTTTTTTGATATTTGAGCGGTGATTCTAAACAAGTTGTGATGGGGCATTTACCATACAGTCAAGATAGAGTTATCTTGTGTTTGACTACGGATTTCTCTTTTCACGCTCTGAAGTTGCTGGATTATCTGACTTTACTTTATACGGGTAAGGACCCTGTCTTCCAGGTATCAGAGCGCTTGTCTTCAGTTATGTTTCTCCAGCCAGCATTTGCGGACTTTCTGCTACTATCGATACAGCTGGTATTTATATACAGTGTTTGATACTTTGTGCATTTGAAGTGAATCTATATTTGTTGAAGGCACACCCCAGATCGCTAAAGCACTTTATCTTACTGAAAAGTATGTACTTTTTTTCATTTTGCAAAAAGTAAAGCTTTTAATAGAAAGACACTTTTATAAACTGACCTGGTTACATTACCCTTTGCTTTCAAACAGACAAAAGCGGTTACTTCCTGCGGTTTTGTTAGCTCAGTGGAGCGATACTCACGAGGTAGCAATTGCTCCGAGCACCTGTCTTGCAAAGAATTTTCATTGAGCTGCATTGAAATGTCTGTAATTGGACAGCCACAGAAGGTCTGGGCAGGGTTAGAAGGGGAGGGTTTGCAAAGGCAGCAGACCAAAGAACTGCAGGGTTTGCAAGCATTTTTTTTTAAAATGTATTGGATATATTTGAAATAAAACATATTCTATTACATTTGCTAGACATAATTTCTATTATTGTTTCAACAAAGTGAACTTACCTTTTATTATTTACATATACATATCCTCTATGCACCAAAATAACTTTCTTAATGAAGCAGTTTTGGTGTACATATCATGCCCTTGCTGTCTCACTGCTCAATTCTTTGTCATTTTACGTAGCCCCAGTCACACTTCCCCTGGGTATGATTTGCAGTCTAAATGGTTTCAAATTGAATCAGATCGGCTAATGTGCTTACTTTAAAATATTTCTTTCTTCTTTTTATTTTTTGCTCTGTTAACTTAATTCATACATAGCAGGCTCCTGCAGGTTCTAGGAGAAAATACTTACTATACTGAGAGGGTAGTTCATGCATGGAATAGCCTTACAGCTGTAGTGATAGAGGTTAACACAGTAAAGGGGTTTAAGCATACGTGGGATAGGCATATGGCTATCCTAACTATAAGATAATATCATCTATAATATCTGTTAATATTAACAGAGCAAGAGATCAGGAGTTCTAAATGAAACCAAATTTGCAATAAGGGGAGTGTAAACATTAGAAGACTCTTTACAGGAAGTGTTTAGGAAGACGGTGCAAGCTGCATGCAGGTAGGTGTGGACTAGGGCTGCATTAACAAAATGATTTAACTCCTAAATGACAGAATTGAGCAGTTCTACAGCACGGGTATGATCTATAGAACAAAACCACTCAATTAACCTAAAGCTGCTTCAGTGCTTATAGTGTACCTTTAAGCATCATCGGTAGAATTGCAAAGCTCATGTTGCACTGAGTGTCATACACCCACTCTAAGCTCTGAGAGTTGCTTAGTTCAGAGGGGCTAGGTAAGAGCTGCAGTTCTATCAGTCAGGTAGCCAATTATGTCCATTGGCAACTTGGTGATGTGGATGCCACACAGACAATTGGGCTCGACTCTCTTCTCTCTCTGGAGACAGAGCTGAGTCATGGATAGTTGTAAATCACAAAAACTTTTTATTTAATTTCCCCAGTAAGTTTCTTTTTTCAAGAAGTCACACCGATCATTATAGAAAAAGTGTAACATATTGTGTTTTGTTTTAACTACTCCTGCTTCCTTCAAAAAGCCAAACTGGCTTAACCATTTGTATGCCTAAAACACAGACTACAAAGCACACCTATCATTCTATCTTTATTTAACAGATTTCTTTTGCATGTACAAGTGTATAAAAACAAGTAGGAGATGGAAACTGAATATAATTTCATGTTGAAAACTATAAAAACAATGGAATGCGTTTATTTATATTACTTAAGTTGATTGATCTTTTCTGAAAAAAACAAAAATATATAGAAAATGAAAAAACAAAAAAGGATCTTAAAAGTACAAAGAACAGAATGGCGCTTTGTTCAGACATGATTTGTATGATAAAGTTAAAAGTTACATATAGTGGTATATTATTTCCCTTTAATTCTTACCCAAGTTCTTCGGATGAACACAGTTCTGCTTTAAACAAGTAGAACATATCCAGCTAGCTTTAAAATGCTCTGTCTTGATTCACATATAAATAAATCGGTCCGTCCAGCAGGGCATTTTCAGATTGTTTGGTGGTCATACTTACAGTTAAAGAAGAAACATTAGGGACAAACAATACTGAAAGAAGCAAATCAGTAGATTAACAATGATTCAAATCTGTGTTTACTAGAATGTAACACAGAAGAATGTTCCGTAAGTTAAATTAAAACATGTTTTGGCCTTGCAATATTTCAAAAGTTCCACAGTGTAACAGTAAGAGAGCCAATCTGAAAACCATTTTTTTTCTGTTGACATTCCACAGGAAATACGTCAGACATTACTGAGACAGCATGTAACACTTATGCTATGATATTCATAGGGTACAAACAAAAGAATACAAAATATAAAGCAACCTCGAGGCACTAAATGGAAGTTTCTCCCATACCACAACTAAGAGGAAAGGAATAACGTTTTACAGGTTGTACCACAGTTGACCAGCAAGTGGTGCTGTTGATTCAAGAAATCCTGATATTATGCTGCCTTGTTTCTTACAAAAAATAGAGACATATTATTGGGATACATAATTGCTTTTAAAAAAGTTTTGTTTTGTTATTATTTTAAATTAGAAAACCTAACTCAGCAGCTTTAGTTGAAACAATGTTAGTACTTATCAGTGTGTACTGATAGAGAAACAAACACGATCCGACATGTTTGTTCCCACTGATATAAATTTACAGGATACCCAATGAGTGGCATTGTGGCAGCCAAACCCAAATGCTGCAGTTCCCCTGATTGCTACATTAAAATGTTGGTTTTCATTATTTACAAAATCTTGGTTAGTTCAGTATGAAAAGAGATACTTTGGTAAGTTGACTATGTGCAGTTCAAAAATGCAGAGAGAATGCTGAACTCTAACAAGCTGTCCTGCACACTCATATGTCCAAGGTTAATACTTTTACATTCTGAAGCAGAGTAAAACATCACTAAGTACCATGTTGACCACTGAATTTCTACCTTATTTAAGTGGCCTCCTTTCTAAATGTTAATGGCTCTGCAGGTTCTGGCTGTGTCATCATGCAATGCTTGGTATTCCCTAGAGTGTAATAACAGTGCCATCTTCCTCTATGCCCCCCTTGGGAATCACTAAGCTGTTCCTAGGGTCGGCTTTTAAACTACTAAGTATTTTGTGAATGCTTCCATTACTTTCTCGCCCAGAATGGCTGAAGCTCAAGTCCTTTTCTAATCTGTGGCTCAAGCTGCTGCCATTAATCCTGGACAGGCTGCCTGAGGGGAGGCTTTGAGATTTTGGAATGTTACGAGGTTCAATGCTACCCTCAATAACAATATCTGCATCATCGTCACTCTCCATATCATCCGGGTGGAAATTCTGTAGAAGGTGAGCAGATGGTAAGCTGTGATGGCTAGCTGTGCTGTCTGTAGATTGCCCAGAGCTTCCGGACATCCGGCTGCTCCGAATGACATTGTTCCTTTGGTTTGCAGGTTTAACTGTGATTATAAGGTTATGGCTGTTTGCAATCATCATATCAGTAACCTGGTCAAGTGTCTTTCCTGCAACTTCAATACCATTCACTTCTAAAACCTCATCGTTAACAGCAAGCAATCCTGTGCTTTCAGCCAAACCTCCAGGGACCATCCTGGATATGAATATTCCTGGCACTTTCTCCAAACCATGTGGAGTCACCCTGACACTAGTTCCATCACGAATATAGAACCCAAGTGGCTTGTCACATCCGTGCCTGTATAGTCTGACCCTCCTGTGTGTCTCCGGAAGTATATCCACATCAATGATAGAGGACACGGGTCTGAAGTCATGCGGCATACTGATATTAATGTGAGGTTTCTTATGGCGAAGACTGTCATTGCGAAGGGCCACCAAAGCATTCTTCTTTCTCCTGTTTAACGTAGCTGTCCCGAATGTGCTGTAATCTACTTCTTCTGCAAAGAGAAAAAAAAATAAATATAAAAAACCTTGTTATGGTTTCTACAGCAATGATCCGCAGTACAATACCCCTTTAATCCTTTTTCAGACACACAGTTTGAACACAAACTTTTCATGCCATATATATAAGGATTTCAGTTAATTTATTTGTTAAAGATACACTGGTGCATATAATCTTTTGTTAAATGAGGTTGACTAAATTCTACTAAATACTCTGAAACAAGATGAAAAAAATAATTTACCGTACATATACGCAGTAAAATAAAGACATAAAAACTTGATTTTATATTTGTGTCTGAAGTTATGCCAGTTGAAATATTTTATTGACCTATTGCCAGATGATTGCACATAAAAATAAGCCTATATTGAACAGTTACATTTATAAGTGAAGACGTAATTACCTTATATTAAATGATATTGAGAAAAAGTATAGTAAATTATTTGGCATTCAATACATTATAAATGCATGGGAAGGGTTTATTTTTGGCAATATTTCTTTTAAATAAGTGAAATTAGATCCATGCTATAGGCAGACCCTGAAATCCACAAAATTGGAACCTTAGTTGGTTTTACTTTCACTATAAATATCACATACAACTTACTGGCACCCACTGTGTTTACACTACTAAGAGTGCGGCACAGAGCTGTAAATAGAAGCCATTTGACCCCTACCATTTGCAAGCATAGTTAATACACAAGATGCTTCACACTTGACAGTGTATCCACTGCTGAATGAATCACTGTTGCAAACTTGGTAATGCCCTTGTCTAAATTATGGTTGAAATTGTCTAACAATATTATTAAGATGCACACTTTGATATGGCTAATACAAATACAATGTCTGACAATAAAACCCCCGAAAAAGAATATAGACAACACTTCCATTTCATATTCAGCTTTAAAGGACCACTATAGTGCCAGGAAAACAAACTCGTTTTCCTGGCACTATAGTGCCCTGAGGGTGCCCCCACCCTCAGGGTCCCACTCCCGCTGAGCTGAAGGGGGAGGAAGGGGTTAATCGCTTACCTCTTTTCTAGCCCCGGACTCCCTCGGCGCTGGGACTCTCCTCTCTCTTCTTCCGTCATCGGCTGAAAGCGGCAAGAGCCGCGCGTGCATTCAGACACTGGCGTCTTCTCACTGTGAAAATCACAGTGAGAAGCGCGGAAGCGCCTCTAGCGGCTGTCAATGAGACAGCCACTAGAGGATGCATTAACCCATAGGTAAACATAGCAGTTTCTCTGAAACTGCTATGCTTACAGCAAAAAAGGTTAAACTTAGATGGACCTGGCACTCAGACCACTTCATTAAACTGAAGTGGTCTGGGTGCCTATAGTGGTCCTTTAAATCATATTATAAAATAATTAATTTCTAACTTGGTGCTTCTTTCCACAAATGTTTAGAAGTTTTGTTATATAGCAAAAATTGAACTTCTTCCTAATACCCATACATCATTGCTAATGCAAACAACAAACTTGAGACTCGCACGGCAGATACTGAGGATAAATAATGCTCCTGAACATAGGTGAACTCAACCACTATGCATATTATTCATATAACGGTTACCACGTATGTGGTATCTTCAGCGCCATTAAAGGAACACGATAGCTTTAGGAATACAGAATGTATTCCTAATGCTATAGTGTCCCTCTGTCTAGCTCAAAATAGGTCCCACTCCAGTTTGCCATAAAATAAGATGAAAATAAAAATAAAAAATTATCAAGTTTTACTCACCACCACTCCTGTGATGTCACAGAGGAGGTATGGCCTCCTCTGTTATGGTCAAATTTAATGATCATTTTTGAGGTACATTGGTTGCAAAAAAGAGCATTCATGGCGAGTGACGCACGTGCATTCAAACTGTCCTATTGGAAACCATTGAATCAATGCTTTCCTATGGGGCTTTGGCATTGGGGAATCAAGATTTATGCTGTCAGTGCAACAGAAGTGCTTTTGTGGCGGTCATAGTCACTAGGAGTGGACTTATTTTGCAATGCAAACATGTTTTACAATGCAGGGTTAAGAGGAAAGGACACTGCACCATGACCACCTTATTGACATGAAGTGATCTGGGTGACTGTAGTGATCCTTTAACTGCATATATAATGTTTCAACACAATGGGGAATAGTGTGGATTGTACAACAATCTATTTTACTACATTTTTTGTGAAAGCAAAGTACAAGAGAAAAAAAGGACAAGACTGACAGGAACATTTTTTTTGATGACATTAATAACTTGGTTGCAAGGAGTAGTGAAATATCTTATTTTCATTACATCCATTGAGCCTCAGCAATTCGTGAATATGTAGCCATTAAAATTTGCAATTTAGGATTTAAAGTCTGTATGTACTTTGCTCCTGTGAACTGGATTTGCTGCACATCCCAGACTGTTCCATCTCCTGGAACAAAATAAACTGAAAAGGTACCAAGTTATTTCCTGGCACAGTTCAACAGCAAAATATTAATACAGGCAAACCATAAAACAACATTCCCACTAACGACAGAAAATTTCAAATACTTTTGGCACCTTGCGTCTGATCTCAAA